AGTCGGTGGCGCAGATGCTGTCGACGTCATGGCCGACATATCATGGGAATTAAAATGCTAAAAAGTAATTATGAACTAATAAATTTAATATTTTTTTGGTTTAATTATTTATTTACCCATTGGCGGTTCTTCAGATAACTGTATAGGATGAAATTAATAACATTTTTATTTATAATCGTATATTTATTTAGGTTATTGGTGTTCATTTGTCTGGCAAAATGACGGGCTGGACTACACCAAAAGATGTTATTTTAAAAGTTGCAGATATTTTAACGGTTTCTGGTGGCACAGGTGCTATTATTGAGTATCATGGACCTGGATTAGATTATATTTCATGCACAGGTAAATATATTGATAGTCGTAAATTATAAATATTATTTTTAATAATTGTTAATATTATTTGTATAGGTATGGGTACCATATGTAATATGGGAGCTGAAATTGGTGCAACATCATTGTTCCCATCCAATCACCGTATGGCTGATTATTTGAAAGCTATCTCACGTGCTGATATTGCTGAAGAAGCTGCTAAGTACGGCAAAACATTATTAACCCCTGATCCAGGCTGTCAATATGATCAGGTAATTATTTTTATTAACCATTACAATGTTCAGTGTCATCAACGATTTAATGTTTTAATTTTTACTTTTATTTTATAGTTAGTTGAAATTGATTTGACGACATTAGAACCTCATGTCAACGGTCCCTTCACGCCGCGGTGTCTGTGGCGATGACGAACGCGAAAGTCCGTTGATCGCGACAGCTCTCCTCTCTCCGGTTATCTCGAATTCCAATGCGTTTTGATTGACAAAGTACATGTTCGTGACGGTGTCAGAAACGGTTGTGAACTGATTTCAATGCCTGTCCAAATACTAGGGTTGCCGTCGTCAATTGGCAACGGAATAAACAGACATTCCGTATCAACGCTGATGGCCAACATTAAATATCAACAACACGTGTCGCGAAAAACGGTATCGATCGTGATTACGATTTCGATACGACGAACGGAGAAGAAAATGCGTAACGTTGTACGAAAAATGTAGAATTAAACAACCAATGACAGTCCGGTACCCATTTCGGAAGCGCGACGACGGGTCTTTGCCACTAATCTGACTTGTACACCGTTGTCATCTGCCCATGTACCCGAACGTTAAATAACGATATTCAACGATCGGTCACCTGTACCGCGTACAGGTGTTGCGAATGAAAATGCCCAACTTAGGTGGTTGGTCCCGCGGTGGGCAGAGGTGCACTGGTACCAGGGTGAATACGTTGTAGCCGTTTTTGTTCTCCAATACTGCGCAGTATAAACAAATGTTAAACATATGTTTAAAAATCGGAGTGGCAACTCAACAACCTGTTCAGTGCGTATCGAACTTATTCCTGTGCTTATCTCATGTGTGTTTTATTCGTACGCAGATATTTATCGTATTCGTACGTAAATCTTACAAAAGTGCAATTGTTTGCCACAAATTGTTCAGATAGTAGACAAAGGCCACCAACTTATATTAATTTTAATAATAAAAATGAAATATGACACCAATATAATAGACGTTAGGCACAGAAGCCAGAACAAAATTATAATACTGAGTAAAATTAGAAGTAGAAGGTAAAAATCACAATTGATTCACAGTCGAACGATGGACTTAATAAACATATGCGTCAACAATAGAATTATAAAAAGTATTTCATATAATTTGATTTTTAATTTTTATAACTGTTTGAAGTAATAAAAAAATGATTTACAAAAAAATACTATAAGACTCATTTACTAAAACAAATATATTATTTTAAAATATAATACATACCATGTTTACTTCATTATTTTATAGCTGCGTGTGCATTTTATAATATCATTACAGCATTTCACATCAAATCAATCTGGTAAATAAAATATATTTTATATATTGTATTAATATGTAATATAATATATTACATACATTGCAGGTGTATGTAATGAAAACAACCGATTACGTATATCTCCTCATGTTTCTCGGTAAAACAAAAGCTCTGTTCTAATATATTTTGGAAAAACGAATAGTAATTAATGTAAAATGTAATGTAGTACGAAAAAGATAATTTACAAAAAAGGTAGAGAACCAACATACTCGGTACATTTATTTCATAACGAATTGGAAAAATAAATCAATTTGAATGTATTTAACGTGTTTAAAAAAAACAAATTTCCAATCGTTTAACGTAATATAAAGACACGATTAAATCGTAGTCGAACGATAGACCTAATAAACATAGGCGTGAACAACAGAATTCTAAAAAGTATTGTATACATACTTTTTATATCCGATTGTGTTTATAAAAATATCATTGACGTCAAACACGTTGCTTTTTATTTTTTGGTAAGACGAATAAAAATTTATGTAATCAACAAATTTTAAAAACATGTACAGTGGAAAGAAAAAAGGTAGAACTTACCGGGTTTTCTTATTTACATTACATCGCAAAAGTTTTAATTTCCTTTCGTCCAAGTGTAACGACTGATGTTGTAACACTCATAACTAAAACCGAAAAAAATAACATTCAATAAGCGGTGGAACGAAAAAGTTTCAAAATGTAATAAATACCGAGTACTCGTTGTTTTATAGCTGTGAACGTTTTGAACAGTATCGTTAGCACCGAAGACCCTTTGAATTCAATTCCTTTCCGTTCAAAAAAAGTATAAATAAATCAAACAACAGCTATCTCCCTATATCGTTTGGCAAAACAAATCGTATTGAACGTACTTAACGCTGATAAAAAAACAAACTATATTTTAAACGCATTATGTTTTCTTCGTTTCACAGCCGTGTGTAAGCGTTCAACAATAACGTTACACATCAAATCAACATGAGTAAAGAAAAACGGATAAATAATTTTCGGTAAAACAAATCGAATATGTAATAACATGTATTAAATAATACGATTGAAGCGATGAAAACGATTTCACAAAAAAAAGTTTGAAACGAAAAGAAAAAAACGGACTTGACGGACGGCGGAAAATGAATAGAAAAGAAACACCGCGAGCGGGATCAACACACTCCCGTCGATAAGACACGGCGGCGGTAGTTGATAACAAACGGCGGCGGCGAAAATCGGACGCGACGGACGGAAACCGAAAACAGATTCCGCGGGAGCGGAAACGACGCCCGTACGAATCGACGGCGGCAGCGGAAAATCGTGCAAAGCCGGGCGGCTATGGCTCGGAATCGAACCTGGACCTACGGGGACCTATGCCTACGACCTGCCTACCTATCGAGTTGGGAACCATGAGAAAGATTGGAGCATTTAAACCGTTCGACGGGGACGTAAGGTAAACGGAAGACCGATCGGTGACGTCACGTGCGGGCGAAACGTCACGGCGGCGCGAGGGGCACAGGTACAGAACGCTCCGATTGGGCTGGTGCTTAATGGTCGGACATCTTGGATTTTCATCCGGTCGCATCGGGAAAACGGTGGGTCGGAAAATCAAACAGACCGCCGAAATGGAAAGAGGAGACAAAAGTCTACGGGAAACGGTCGACGGAGAAAGGAAAAAGCGTCTGCGGGATTTAAAAGTTTTTCCGACCAATCACCGGTCGGGGAATTATTTTAATATAATAGAATAGAAGATAGATAGATAGACAAGTAAATACTAAATACTTTGAGGTAGTAACCTGTTCTGTGGTTAGGTCATTGATTATATAATTAATGGAATGATAAGCTTTTATCACATACAACAATGTTATCTTCATGTTATCTATGATTTTGTTATCAATGTTTTTCTCAAACGGTCTAGCAAAACAAATAATAATAATAATAATTACAGTATTAACTATTTAGAAAACCCGGTCAATATGAATTGTGAATACCCCGCGCAAAGTAAATTAACGTTAGTTACTTTTTGAATACTACTGTGCTCTTCAGTAAATACTAAGTAGTTCTGAAACATTTTTTAAGCTGGGCAAATTCTTTGATTACACACAAGTTTGTGAAAGGACAGTATTTCATCTGTTATTTTAGAAGATAATACAAGGTAAGCATTTTAGAATATTTTTATTACTTATAAATTTAATATTTCTAAACCAAAATCATTTGGTTAAGAATTACCGATGTTTAAATAACAATTAAGAATAATATGCTATAGTTATTAGAAATTATGAAATAATCAAACTATCAAAATATATACTTTTTAAGCTTTTTTCAGTTGTATATTAGATTTATTTTAGACTATTTCAATTAATTTTAACATTTTGGTTGCTAACCCAACCTTGACTTTATTTTATAAAAATAAATTTACTTTATTAAGTTGTCCATGCATAGCACCAAAATCAAAGAAAATCTAATAACATTAAATTTGTTTGTTTAAGAATATTTTAAGTAGCTAATGTTGGTGTTCTTAGTTTAATATTTATTATTATTTTTTTTTTGTATATCAATAATTATTTCTATAAATGTATTTAATTTGACAACTACTTGTTTTTGTTGTATTAATCACAATATTAGATTATTATTGTTGTTGTTTTAATAGTTTCCATCTATTTGTGGAATCAGAAGATTTGTGATTGAATAACTATTATTAATTGCTGCCATATTAGTATTATTGTCATAGACTTATTCTTAGCCACGATAATGCCAAGGCTATTTTCTTTTCTAATATTTCATATAAGATCAGGTAGTTCCATTCATAATTTTTCATTGGTAAGTACATAAAAAATCAGCAAATGGTTCATTGATTAATACTTTCCAATTTTAAATGTAGACATAACAGATGATTATAATTTTTTCCTATTGATTTGTAGAAAGCGCAATAGAAAATAAATAAATATATTAATAAATATATTTGGTTTTTTTTTAATTTCATATGAAGTTTTTTTCATTTACTGATTCATTTACGTAAAATTTAATTTTTAATTTTATGAAAATAATATCTTATTGTTGGCCTGTTACTTTTTGTAATATATTTAACATATTCGAATAAAATACAGTAATAATGACTTATTCATTAATCTTTATAAAATACAACTGTTTGAACTTCCACGTTTGTCTGATGCAACTCTTAAAGCAAAATTATTATTTGCTCATAATATAATTTTAGGAATTTTTCTATTTTACTAGACACTTTTATTTTGTTGTACTTTTTTTTTAAACCCTAAATGAGCCGTTTCAAGCATCAAGGGGCTACATTTTTTCTTTGGGGCCACAGGCCACAGGTAGCATAATAAGTACAGATAAAGGTGCCCTGTTACTTTTATAAAACTTCATTACTCAGGGGGCAATTGCCCCCTATCACCCCCCCTGAACAGGACCCTGATCCTAGGTAAATCAACTTCTTAAAAATTATAATAAAAAAAAATGTGTGAAAATCATTAGTTTTAAAGTTACGTTACTTTGAAATTTGAGTACTTTACAAAATATTGTTTCTTTCTTTATATATTATTATAGGCTATTTTTGTTTTTTTGACACAGCGGTCGGTTTAGGAAAGCGTCGACTAAAGTATAGCTAGGTGACCAATTCGATTCTCAATTAGGCATCACTAATTTTTTGCACTTTTTATGAACATATTATCTGCTAAAAACAATGTATTTTATTATCTATTTTAATAATTTTATTCTTGCTGATAGAGACCGAACACTCGCTCCGACAGTTAAAAATGAAAATATTCCTCGATTAGCTATGCAACATCACTTAGGGCGGCTCGTCAAGGTATAATTTGAGACTGCGTCTCCCCTTAAAAAAACTGATACTTGTAAATAATAACTATTTAAAAATATGTTGTATCGTTTTAATTATTTATTATTATAAATTGAAGACCACCAAATCTATAACCGATAAATTTTTATATCGATGGAAAAACTATTTCAATCATTTTGACGACGGTCACCTTTTCAGGGGAACTGATGCCTGTCAGGCAGTGCTGTCCCGACGGTTTTCGGGGCCCGGTGCAGAATTTTGTGGGGCCTCATACAAATATATTAATTTATCAATTTATTAATTGTTTATATAAATGAATAACTTGTTCGTTGTTACTAATAATTCTTTATAAAATTATATTGAACTTTTACAATTTACATCTGATAGGACATAATAAGCAGACTTAATAAACAATTCCTGGATTTCGGGGAGGGGGCTGAAGCCCCCTTAGCCCCCCATAAATATACCCCTGTGGGGCCCCATACAAGCGCAGAGCCCAGTGCGGTCGCACCTCTTGCCCCCCCCCCCCCCTAGGGTCGGCACTGATCTCAACATGTAATGGTCAGAGGGAGCCGGGGAAAACAAGCCACGTATTATAGATGCTATTGAAACTATTGAGTTCATGACAATAATTTCCGTGCCATCACGCCGTTGTTAGTCGCTGTACGCTGTCATATGCGTTTATCTGCGAGTTTAAAGATAAAAAAATCGCAGAATTGAATTACTTTTTAAAAAATTTAGTATTCAATTAAGTTAAGCATATTAACTCATTATTAAATTAAATATTAAGAATAATACATTTTCCAATAAAGGGTTTTTCTTGTATGGAGTTTATATTAAGTTTATATTATCATATATGAATAGAGAACTATTGTTATTTTTTGATTAAATTAAAAAATGAACGAATAATTAAGTAATTATTTTATTATCCTTAAATGTATATCATCTACCATTCGAAAAGATTTAGTTTATGGCCACTATTTTCATATTCAGAAAAGAATAGATTTAAATGTTTTTGTTTTCAAAATCTGTTATTAGAAAATGTTGGTTTTAAGTTTAAAAAAGAAAACAGGAAAGATAAAATTGCATTTATTTTTCTATTATATGTAATAATCTAACCGCTATAACTTTACTTTTTCATTTAAAAATTTGTAAGATTAATTACTATCAAAATGTCTTTTGTTATCATCATTCATAGGAAAATAATAATTTTGGTTCATGAGATAAGTTACTTTTTCTATCATTAAATTTCTAAGTCTAGTTGCCTCATGTCTACAGTGCTGAATTAACTTATAAATAAATTAAGCACTGCTTAAGGCCTGCAAAAATATTTGGCTTATGGAATTTTTTTTTTTAATAAGAAAATTTAAAATTTGTAGATTGGCGGCTAAGTCGGCGGTCTGATTAGACCCGGCAACAGCCAAATATATTCGACCATGTATCGCAGACAAAATTCGGTAGAGAAAAATGGTTAGACTATATACAGATTTCGGACACGACAAGATATTGATTAATTTTATAATGAATACTATATATTTTAGTATTAACCCATAATTTAAAAATGTATTTAATACGGTTATGTATTTATTATTATTTATATCCATATGTAAAATTGAAAAAAATTAAATTTTTTTTTAAATTTGTAGTTAAGAAACATGGTTGGGATAGGTGTATACTTTTTTTTATTACTCTTTATGGCCAATTAAGCCTGTCTGATTTATTTGCTTAAGGCTTGCAAAGGAATAATCCGGCACTGAATGTTTAATATTATTACAATAAATGTCAATGAAGGACATGTTTTATTTTAATTTTGATTATTTATTATATTACATATTATGAAGTAATAGTTTGTCGAAACTTAACTACAAGTTAACTAATTATAACATTAACAATAATCATAAGTAGTGATGGTAAGAAATAGCTGAAGCATTTAATCTATTCTGTGGCCGAAGCAACTATAATAGCACTGCTATTTTACAGTAGCAGTCGCAAATTGTTCTTCAGTGTAAACAATAGCAATTATAGATAAATTTCGTATTATGGTTTTTATATTTTCTTACACTGCTGTATACTAGCTGCTTTTGTATTATAATACATATAATTAATTATAGCAGCAACAGCTATGTTATATAGTGGCAAGGCCGTAACTGGGGAGAGTCCAGGGGTACGCCCCCCTCCCCGAAATTTTCAAAAGTAGAAACATTTTAGTGGTGAATATAGTTTATTAACTATAAATTGTATTAAATAATAATGTTAGACCCCCCCACGAAATTTTTTTCCAGTTATGGCCTTGTATAGTGGTATCATGGTGGATGACACGATGTTTGTTAGTCAATAATGAAATTCAAATTAAAAAAAAAAAATCATTGATATCCTCGTCATCATTGTTATCCTAGTATCATGGACATAAGCGCAACTAAGGGAGTTGGGGAGCTTAGTTCTCCAAGAATGTCTAAGGCTCCCTAAAATATATTAGGCAATTGTTTTATATTTATTATTTGTTTTATGTTTTATCTTTAGTTGTTTTATGTTCTGTGTTTGGCGATTTGTATTTGGTTAATATGGTAATTTAATTTATCAGCCAACTGCTGTATCCGTGCATCTAATTTATTTTATATTACTTAAAGTGGTGTAAGATTATCATTAATATAAGGCCGGAAATACACGGGCGTTATTTTACAGCGTAAATAAAATTTTTTGCTCGTTTTAATTCTCATTAACACAAGAGCGTTTATGTACGGCACGTTTAATATATTACATATGACTGTACGAACTAAATTGTAACCGATTTTTTTCATACGTTTATGATTACAGTCACGATTAACGATATAATTTATTATTGATAATATTTAATCACCGTCGAATCAATAGAAATGTCCTAAAATATATATATAGATGCGTGGAAGATGTCTGGTTTGTTGTAGACCGCATATAACGTATAGAAACATGCGTGATAG